CCAAGATCCTGAGAGGAGAATGGAGGAGAAGGGATTGTGGCATGGCCATCCCCTCTGGGGGGGTGATTTCTCACTTTCTGTCTCTGTCTTTCTCTGTCTGGCGAGCGCACGCGCCCTATAGCAAAAACCTCTTCCAAAAAAAAAATTCCATAAATGAAAATGTGCATTTTATTGAATTGCATTGTAGTCAGACATTTGAGTACAGGGGGACAGGCCAGGGGACAGGCAAGCAGTGGATGGTGGACACGGCCACAGGCCATGGCCATCAACTATTATCCTTGAAAAGACTTTCATCAGTTGAATAATTTCTGCAATTAGTACTGGAGCAGTGGTGAAAAGGATGATAAGCATGATGCATGATGGTTAGAATAATGCTGACAACCAGGGCGAAGATGTTCAGGCACTTGGCAGTAAAGGCATAGGTCTGGGCCCCAGTTGTGTCACCCACCATCTTCCTGTCCCTAGACTTTAAAAGTAGGTGAATGTGATGAAGCCCAGGCAGCAGTAGTTTATGAAGATTGTGTTGGACAGGGACCAGACCACATGGTCGGGCACCGAGGTCTTGCTGCAGATGTTGATCACGGTGGACGTCACTGGAGTGGCAGTTGGGGGCACTCCAGCACAGATACCTTATGCTGTTCCTTGAGCGTCTCATAGTTTAAGGGAGGGTTGGCATCAGCGTGAGTGAACGTTTGAGAATTGTGGTTCATGATACACACAGCACTGGTGGCAAGGAGCGCTGCTGTTCTACAAGTTGTTTAGATTTCTCATTCAAAAATTTTTATTTCATCCATGAGTAAGGGAGACAGACAGCACCAAAAGGGTCTTTTCTCTGCTAACCACCATCAGCTTCAGCAGGCCCCAGTGATGGGTAGGCTCTTGGACTCAACAAGTTCAGAGCGGTCTCCATAGGCAAAACAAATCCTCTGTGGGTGTTGGCCTCCCAGAGCAACACAATTTACCATCATGCCACTGCCTAGCCCCTAAAATAGTTTTTTTAAGAAGAGGACTATAGAATCAAAAGTAACATTTTTTTTTTATTCTTGATTCATATTGCCATATTATTTTTCAGATGTTGGGGGACTACTTGCTTGTATTCTATTGTAACTTGAGGTTGTATATTGAACTTCATAGAAATGGAATCATAATGTCCTGTTTGTGCCTGAGTCAACAACAGCTTATATTATCCAGGTTCTTACGTTTATCAGTGGTTATGACAGAGGATACTGGGACGATCAGACCCAACACCAGGGCGTGATTCAGAACCACCAGATGTCAAGGGTCTTGTTCCACACTCTTGAAGGATTACAGATGCGGACACACAGAGGAGATAGCAAAGCCATTTATTGAGAGAAGATAGGAACAACAGAGGTCCCAGGCTGCCAAAGAGGAGCTACAGTGAGGAGCAACGGGCTAGCGGGGGCCAGGCCAGGGGACAGGCAAGCAGTGGATGGTGGACACGGCCACAGGCCATGGCCATCAACTATTATCCTTGAAAAGACTTTCATCAGTTGAATAATTTCTGCAATTAGTACTGGAGCAGTGGTGAAAAGGATGATAAGCATGATGCATGATGGTTAGAATAATGCTGACAACCAGGGCGAAGATGTTCAGGCACTTGGCAGTAAAGGCATAGGTCTGGGCCCCAGTTGTGTCACCCACCATCTTCCTGTCCCTAGACTTTAAAAGTAGGTGAATGTGATGAAGCCCAGGCAGCAGTAGTTTATGAAGATTGTGTTGGACAGGGACCAGACCACATGGTCGGGCACCGAGGTCTTGCTGCAGATGTTGATCACGGTGGACGTCACTGGAGTGGCAGTTGGGGGCACTCCAGCACAGATACCTTATGCTGTTCCTTGAGTGTCTCATAGTTTAAGGGAGGGTTGGCATCAGCGTGAGTGAACGTTTGAGAATTGTGGTTCATGATACACACAGCACTGGTGGCAAGGAGCCCTGCTGTTCTACAAGTTGTTTAGATTTCTCATTCAAAAATTTTTATTTCATCCATGAGTAAGGGAGACAGACAGCACCAAAAGGGTCTTTTCTCTGCTAACCACCATCAGCTTCAGCAGGCCCCAGTGATGGGTAGGCTCTTGGACTCAACAAGTTCAGAGCGGTCTCCATAGGCAAAACAAATCCTCTGTGGGTGTTGGCCTCCCAGAGCAACACAATTTACCATCATGCCACTGCCTAGCCCCTAAAATAGTTTTTTTAAGAAGAGGACTATAGAATCAAAAGTAACATTTTTTTTTTATTCTTGATTCATATTGCCATATTATTTTTCAGATGTTGGGGGACTACTTGCTTGTATTCTATTGTAACTTGAGGTTGTATATTGAACTTCATAGAAATGGAATCATAATGTCCTGTTTGTGCCTGAGTCAACAACAGCTTATATTATCCAGGTTCTTACGTTTATCAGTGGTTATGACAGAGGATACTGGGACGATCAGACCCAACACCAGGGCGTGATTCAGAACCACCAGATGTCAAGGGTCTTGTTCCACACTCTTGAAGGATTACAGATGCGGACACACAGAGGAGATAGCAAAGCCATTTATTGAGAGAAGATAGGAACAACAGAGGTCCCAGGCTGCCAAAGAGGAGCTACAGTGAGGAGCAATGGGCTAGCTGGCTAATAAGAAAATGGGCTTTAGAAAATAGTTACATGGTAAATGGTTACGTTGCTGGATTCCCACTTATCTGACCCGGTTTGAGTCCCAGACCTCATGACTTAAAACAACTCCCTGCGCATGTGCGTTTCCTGGAGAGGAAAATGTCAGAGAAGGGGTTGGGATATAGGCATTCTCTTCCCCTCTTAAGTGACTTCTAACTTTCTGTATCTCTGTCTCTGTGTGTCTCTAGTGAGTGCACCTATCCTATAACAAAAATCTCTCTTAAAAAAAAAAGTTACATGGTAGTCTGGGTGATTTATTACCCCACTCTTTGTGAGGTCAGCAGAGCAGATCATCTGCACTTTTTGTTAGAATGTAGTTAGCAAATAGAAACAATTGCCCTGAACTATGTTATAGTTACTTTGAGTCCTAATGTAGTCAGCTCTTTGTTAAAACCTAGCCATTTGTGGGGCCAGCAGGTGTGGTGGTGGGTAAGGCATTGGACTCCCATCTGGACCAGAGTCCCTGGCTGCTTAAAAATCAAGCCTGGGGGACCAGCAGTTAGCATAATGGCTATGTCGCTGGACTCCCACGTTGTCGATTGTGGTGCGAGTC